TCTTCACTCCTACTCTTGCTTTATGTTCTAGTCAGACCGAATTGCATTTGTTCGTCTATCCTGCCATGCCCTTTTCTTTCCAGGCCTGGGCACATGCTGTTTCTATTTCTGGGATATTCTTGTGACTGTCTTTGCACCCCAACTCCCACCTTCCTTTGCTTCCATAATGTCCACTCATTCTTCAAACTTCTATTTAAGTATCCCTCCTCCCAAACAGCCTTTCCTGACTCTCTCCCTCCAGAAAGTGTTATTTATATATGCTTCCTTAGCATGCTCAAATTCACATTGACTAAACTAGAGTGCTGTTGCCTTTTCTACATCTGTACCTCTTCCAAATTGCAAGTTCGATAAGAGGAGGACCATGTTGGTATTGTTAATCATGTTTGTACTCTCAGATCCCAGAGTTTGTCCTGTAACAAGAGTGCATTGAATATTTGGTAAATGAGTGAGTAAATGAAGAAACACATAATAAGCTAATATACAAATAAAGAAAACTAACCTGTGGTTTTAGTTTTCCTGAATGAGTAATTATAGATTTGTGGTTCTCACAGTGTGGCTCCAACCATGTATATTGGACTCACCCTGTTTTATTTTTTTTTTTCCTTCCCCAAAATGCAAATTCCTAGGCCAGTAACTCAAACTTACCAGGAACTTGTCTGTGGATTGTGCCACATATCAAGTTCTCTGGGTGGTTTTTAAATAAACTAAAGTTTGAGCATGGCTCTCAGATGAGATTAAGATGTGGTAAACTTGTGTAGAGAGCAACATCTACAGAGGAGGGAAGAAAACAGTATTAGGTGGACTCGGGATCCTTGCAGATAATGTTCTTCAAATGGGAGCAACAGGACTGGACCTCTGACCTTCCTCTTTAACTTACAATTCCATGTGGTCTGTTACTGGAAAGGAGACATGACCTTGGATGAACCTATTCTCTTCAGCTGAGGGAAAGCTAGCTAGGGAAATAAATGTTTTGGACCTGAAGTGATTAGTTGGATTAAGCAGTTCAGTGTCTATTCCAGAGCCCAATTGCCTTGTGAATTGGTGGAAAAACTTGAGAAAATTGGGGAGGAGGAAGCAAGAAAGGATGTTACAAGTGGGAAACTAGGTTTACCTTTGTATAACAAATATGGACATACTTTGAAACATTCTAATCAATAATCTTTTATTTCATAATTTCTTTAATTCACATCAGCTATTCTACATTCAAAAGCAAGATTCAGAGTCTCTTGTGACATCCATTTTGGTCTTTATTTTCTTTTCAATGACCTTTTGTTTCTTCATGTATGATGTTCTTGATATCATTCCATCAATTTGGTCTTCAGTCATTAATATTCAATGTGTCAAATCTCTTCTTGAATGTCTCTAAATTCAGGTGGGATATAATCAGGGTCATACTTTGGCTCTCATGAACTTGTTAAATTTTCTTCATCTTAAATTTAAATTTGCATATGAGCAATTGATGACCTGTTCTGCATTCTGCCCCTGGCCTTGTTTTAACTGATGATATTGAGCTTCTCCATCATCTCTTTTTACATATCTAGTTGATACGATTCATTTGTATTCCATCTGGTGAAGTCTATGTGTATAGTCACCATTTATGTTGTTGAGAAAAGATATTTGCAATGAGTAGGCTATTAGGTGATCTCAGGCATCATTCCTATTATCAAGACTGTATTTTCCAACTTTTTCGTTGTTTCCAATTTTTGCATTCGAATCACCACTAATTATCAATGCTTCTTGATTGTATTTTGGAACAATTTCAAATTGCAGAAGTTAGTACATGTGATAGTTAAGGTTATGTGTCAGCTTGGCTGGGCCTGGTTGAGTAGCTGGGCAGCTGGTGGTAGTTATTCCACACGATGAGACTGGCAGTCAGCTCCATGGTGGAATCTGCCATGAGCAGCTGAGTAGCTGCTTTAGAGATGTGGTCTGCTTCCTGTATATGAAGGAAGCTTTGGGAATGGTCTACAGCTCTTTTTGGCACATGTGAACACTGCATGTGGGCAAGTCCATTGTTCAGCAACCTGCCATGCTTGGCCGATCTTGGGGCTTTTTCTGGACCTGAATTAGTAGCTTGCTGTGTTGTTTGGTAATATTGGGACTGTGCCTTTTTACCTGTCGACCTTGGGTTTCGTCAGCCTTAGCATCCAGCAGCTGTCTGAGTGAAGAAAAACCTCCAGCTTCAGTGGGCTGGGGGCAGGAGTCAGAGCTGAAGCCCAAAGTCTAGGGGCTTTCACTCAGGCCTTAGAGCCTGACACTTTGAACTCAGACTTCTAGCCTCCTGAACTGTAGCAGAATAACTCCTGTTTGTAAAAGACATCCCCTTTGTGGAATATTCCTGGCACTAGGTAACCAAAACAGTTCAAATTTTCAATTTCTTCATCTTTAGTATTAATGGTTTGTATATAAATTTGAATAGTAGTCATGTTAGCTGGTCTTCCTTATGGGTGTATAGATATTATCCTTTCATTGACTTCATTGATAGATCTTGAAATGTTGCTTTTGATGATAAATGAGATGCTGTCCCTTTTCAATATGTCATTCCTGGCACAGTAGATCATATGATTGTCTGATTCAGAGTGGCCAATTTCAGCTCATTAATGTCTAGGATATTGATTTTTATATGTTCCATTTCACTTTTGATGACTTCTGTTCTGGTTACCTAGTACTGCCCTGACAGGAAATATACCAGAAATGGTATGGCTTTAACAAATAGGAGTTTACTCTTAAAATTTGGAGACTTTATAAGTCCGAGTTCAAAGTGCCAGGCTCTAGAGGCTGTGTGAAAGCCCCTTGACCTTGGGCTTCAGCTCTGCCTCTTGCTCCCAGCCCGCTGAAACTAGAGACATCTCTTCACTCAGGCAGCTACTGGGTGCTGAGGCTAATAAGCCAAGATCGACAAATAAAATGGCACAGTCCCGATGTTACCAAAGCACATGGCAGGCCATTAATTCAAGTCCATTTTAAGTCCCGAGGTTGGCAGAGCATGGCAGGCTGCTGAACATCAGCACAGCTACATGCAGGGTCCAAGTGTGCCATAAGCTAGAGACCAAGGCTTCTCCTTATATACAGGAAGCAGACCACATCCCTAGAGCAGCTACTCAGCTGCTCACAGTAGATTCCACTGTGGAGTTGATTACCAGTCTCCTCATGGGGAATACTACATCCAGCTGCCCAGCTACTCAACCAGGCCCGGCCAAGTTGACATACAAACTGAACTACCACAATTTCCAATTAAGGCATTTAGCTGCTAACCAAAAGATTGGTGGTTTGACCCATCAGCCACTCCACAGAAGAAAGATGAGGCAGCTTCTGTAAAAATTTACAGCCTTGGAAACTCAATGTGGGTTACTATGTATGAGTCAGTATTGACTCAATGGCAGTAGGTTTTGTTTTATACTTTGTAACTTCCATGTCCTGATTATTAATGTTTTTTAGCAGCTATTTCTTCCCATTTTGAGTTATGCCACATCAGCAAATGAAAGTCCCTAAACTTTACTCTATCAATGTTATTAACATAGACTCTAATTTAGGAGGCAGCTATTACATAGTTGTATTTTGAGTGTCTTCCAAGCTAAGGGTTTCTTTTGGCATTATATCAGACAGTGTTCTGATGCTACTTGTAAGGTTTTCAGTGATCATTTTTTTTAAGAAGTAGATTTCCACGTCCTTCTTCCTTGTCTTTTATAGTCTTGAAGCAGAGTGTCCATTATGGGTGACCTTGCTAGTATTTTAAATACTGGTGGCATAGCTTCCAGCATCATATCAACATGGAAGCCACCACACTATGACAAATTGACAGATGAATGGTGACATCAAGGCCTATATACCTTCTATCATAAAAAGTTGTATGGTTTAGGTATAGTCAGTATATTCAGTAATCAAAACAAGAATGGTGTAGTAAATGTGTGAATTCTTTTGTTGTTAGGTGGTGTCCATTTGATTTCTTCTCCTACTGAACCCATAATGAAGGCTGATAAACTGTCCCATAGGGTTTTCTAAGCTGTAATCTTTAGAGTACTATATTACCTGGTCTTTCACTTGAGGAACTGCTTGATGTATTGGAACCACCAACTATTCAATCAACAGCCAAGCACTCAACTGTTGTACCACCAAACCTTTATAAGATCAGAGAAGGACATATCTTAAATAGGTATGAGCCACTTGAAATCTAGAAAGAATGCTGAAAAAAAAAGGGGCATTTATTAACTAGAAAGGAGCTCTGGTATAGTGGTTAAGACATTTGGGTGGTAACCAAAAGTTCCTAGTTTGAACCTGCTAGCTGCTCTGTGGGAACTCTGGTGGTGTAGTGCCTAAGGCAGTTGACTGCTAACCAGAAGGCTGACTCTTCCAACCCACCAGCCCCTCCTCAGAAGGAAGATTGGGAAATCTACTTCCTTAGAGATACCAATGTGGAAATCCAAGGGAGGGGTCGCTGTGAATTGAATCCACTCAACAGCAGTGAGTTTTTTTTTTTTTTTTAAGCGGCTCTGTGGTAGAAAGATGGGCAGTCTGCTTCCATAAAGATTTATAGCCTTGGAAACCCAAGGGGTGTCACTATGAATCAGAAATGACGCGATGACAATGAGTTTAGTTTGGTTTGGTATTAGCCAGAGTGGTGCTGTTGTATGCATCTTAGAAGGTATACAAAAGGTGAAATAGATACTAATAAGTTTACTTCACTGCTCAAAAAAAGTATTGTATGTAAAAATAGTGTATTTTTTTTGTTCTTATTAGTTATTTGCCCTGAATGGGTATGTTGTTGTTATTTGCCAGCGAGTCAGACCCGATCACAGCGACCCCTCCTTGGGTTGCCAAGGCAGTATCACTATGGAAGTAGATTGCCCAACCTTCCTGCTGAGGAGTGGCTGGTGAGTTTGAACTGCCAGCCTTCTGGTTAGCAGTCAAGTGCCTTAGGCACTGTGCTACCAGAGCTCCTTTTATATAACATCTTCTTGATTACATTATTGTTTCTTTAACCCAGTTATTTTATTCCCCAGATGCCTCAAATGTGCAGATGCTCCCTGTCAGAAGAGCTGCCCAACTAATCTGGATATCAAATCATTCATCACAAGTATTGCCAACAAGGTAAATTCAGATTTATCTCTGCATAAGGAAGTTGGGATTAAAGCATTCAACTTGTCTTAGTAACTCAGGTTAAACCATTTAAAATATAATTTCAATAGTCATTTAATCAGGGTCTTCTCAGTTTGATTAGAATGTAATTTGATTAGAATTTATTGTTAATTGTTCTAAAAATTAGTTATGTTGAAATTCATGATTTTTTAACCAAGGCATTCACTGAAAAGATTTGCTGTAGCTTAGGTTTGCTAAATGCCAATAGATAAGAACTTTCATTGATTGTCAAACACATTTCAAATTTGTGAAATATCTTTGCTTTTGAAATAAGTCTGGCACTTTGAGATTCATCAAGGGAATAAATCTTTTCCATTTACTGAAATTTAGTTAAGTTTTTTAAGATTTGGGATAAGTCTGATATTTATAACTAAAAAATGTATGCAAAAAACAATGAGGAAATAAACTTTTATAAACATGAGTAAAATAAAAGACAATTTTGACCTTTAGATATTTTTAACCAATGTAAGCTTAGCCTTGTTTTCATTCATTAAGTAAATGGTTGGGTGATAGAATTATAAATAAATAATATCTATATTTTGTGAAAGGAGAACTCTTGACTGAGTATCTTATAACAAATGGGTGAAAGCTGGAAGAAGTCTTCCCATAAGGATACATCCTATAGAGGATCCTTATCAGAAAGTTTAACACTTATGCTCTAAGATTCTGTAAAGAATCAATAAGTCCTTCTTAAACAAACAGGCACATTTTTAGATGTAAAGATCATATTATCATAGGTTGATTTTATTTATGTATATATATGCATATATAGAAGGCTGGCGGTTCAAACCCACCAGCCACTCCTCGGAAGGAAGGTTGGGCAATCCTACTTCCATAGTGATACTGCCTCGGAAAGCCAAGGAGGGGTCGCTATGAGTCGGGGCCGACTCGACGGCAAACAACAACAATAACAACATACATATATGTGTGTATATATGTATGCACGTTCATATATGTATATTGTATGTATATATATATATATATGTGTGTGTGTGTGTGTGTGTGTGTGGGAGCTCTGGTGCTGTAGTGCCTAAGGCATTTGACTGCTAATCAGAAGGCTGGCAGCTCAAACCCACCAGCCACTCCTTGGAAGGACGATTGGGCTATCTACTTCTGTACAGATACCACCTTGGAAACACAAGGAAGGGTCACTATGAGTTGAATCAACTTCATGGAAGTGAGTTTGGTTTTAGTTTTATATATATGTGTATGTATATATAGGAGCTCTGGTGGCATAGTGCCTAAGGCATTAGACTAGTAACCAGAAGGCTGGCAGTTCAAACCCACCAGCCACTACTCCTCAGAAGGAAGATTAGACAATCTACTTCTGTAGTGATACGGCCTCAGAAACCCAGGAGGGGTCACTATGAGTTGGATCTGACTCAAGGGCAGTGTGTGTTGTATGTATGTATACATGTATATATATGTAGGAAGGTCTGGTGGTGCCAGGACTAAAGCATTAAGTTTCTAATCACAAGGCCAGCAGTTCGAACCCACCAGCCACTCTGTGGGAGAAAGATGAGGCAGTCTGCTTTTGTAAGGATTTATAGCCTTGGAAACCCTATGGGGTAGCTATGAGTCTGATCAACTCTATTGCAGTGGGTTATATTAACCTGTATGGTCAGGTTTATTAAGACTTAAAGTCTGAGTTAAATTTTTAGATTAGCTACTTACTGTGAACCCTGAGAAAATTACTACCTCCTTACTCTCACTAATAATGAAAGATATCACCTGTTTTGTAAAGTTGTGTAAAAAATGGAATATGCTTGTTTGTGGAAATGTCTAACATGCAGTAATTGCTCAGCAAACCTTTTATTGATACGGAATCTTTAAGTTCCCTGCTCATTCAATATGGTAACTATGCACGTGATTGATATTACTGCTGTTGCTTTTGTTTATTGAATACCTACTATCTGCTAAACACAGTGCCAGGCATTGGGTAAGATAGGTTCCTACTGTGACCCTCTGCCTTTTAGATGTTCATAATCTATGAGCAAAGATAGATGTATAAAACAAAACATATCTAACCATTATTCAATGTGGTGAGCGCTGCAATCCACACAATTCATGAAGATGAGTGTTCAGCATGAGAAAAGGCAGAAATGTGGGAGAGTGCGTGGTAGAGTTGGAGAATTCTATTAAATTCATTGTGGCTAGAATAGAGCCTAGCTTACATGCAGAAGAATGGTGGGAAAAACAAAAGACAAAGGGGCTTGGATTAGGTTGTGAGAATATTTTGAATGCCATACTAAATGGTATTCTGGGAAGATGATTTCTGGGAAGGGATCTCATTTATTAACTTCATAGCATCCTGAGCATCTATCATCACAGGACATTTGTCTAATATGTAAGCACAACTTATGTGAGACTTACATGAAATCTTGTTTGTTTAATAATGATCTAATCAGAAAAGGAGTAACACAAAATGCCCAGATTTTGAAGTCAGTGAGTGTTTTTATTAAAAATATATTGCTCTTGATGCCAAATGGGTTACTCTTGATATCAAGCATGAGGAGATATGACAACTGTAATGGACCATCTTGGCACCACACTAGCTAAATGTTCCCTAGGTATTCAGGGAACAAAGTATTCAGCACATACTTTGCGATTCTAATTAGCTTATACTACATGCAAGATCTACACAAGTTTAAAACTTAAAGGAAGGCATTAGGGAGAAATAGTATTCTTTGAAGATTTTCAAATATTTGAGCAAACTCAGAACCATCTCTATTTTAGGAAAACCTTTTTGTTTTATGTTCTGTATTATCTAATGAAGCAATGCACTTAGATATTTATTTTAACTAATTTACATATAAGATATCATGTGATATTGTATTTAAGCATAATCCTTTGTCAGGCATTTAAGAAACTCTATTGTAAGCAGTGATTTTGTTGAAGACCCACTGTAGCAATCATAAAAGGTCAGAGATTCTTTCTATTTAAAGCCTACAGCTTTTAAGATATTTACTCACTGTGTACAATGTAGGCTGTACCACATTGCTTTTCTGGGGGACTTCAACTCAGGAGGGGGGTTCTTCCCAGGTTGAGAGGGTAATTGAATCGCCAGACTCAATGAAACTTGCACCTCTTTGAGAAAAGGATGTCACTTGTGTTGCATTGTGTTAGGCTTCTGTGATTCAGTAGCGTTTAGGGCAATACTTCCATTTTTATTTTCTTACAAACTGGATTACAGCTCTAGTTTCCAAAGGTACACTCAATTCTATTGTACCTCCTCAGTCAGTTTTTCTCTGTTTCGCTCATGCAGGCTGTTGTTTGCAATTGTATCTCTCAATTGGAAATACACATTTCAGATTCATCAAACTGTGAATACTGGGTTATATTTCTTGATAGTTCTCTTTCTTTCTTTTTTTTTTTAAATACTACTTTATATAGGAATGCAAGAAATCAATTTATACTTGTCTTACAAAAAGGCCAACAAAACACTTGTGTTTTAAAAGTATAACTTGATTTCATGATCCTTATTTCAAACAATAAAGATATTTTGCTTTTTCCAAAATGCTACATTAAATTGTAAAGCATTTTCTTTACTACTAATATGCATGTTTTTGTGTAAATTTTATGTCTGGGTAAATAAATTTAATAATACACATTAGAGAAAGGCTGGCTAAATGATACCATGTAAAATTAAAGCTTCTCCTTCATTGTTGTTGTTGTTGTTAATGTACCGTTGAGTTGGCCCCGACTCATAGCGACCCCTCCTTGGGTTTCCGAGGCAGTATCACTATGGAAGTAGGAATGCCCAACCTTCCTTCCGAGGAGTGGCTGGTGGTTTGAACCTCCAGCCTTCTAGTTAGCAGTCAAGTGCCTTAGGCACTATGCTACCAGAGCTGCTGCTTCTTCATTAAAGAACCCTATTTAATGTACTTGGAAGTCAGAGGTGCAATAAAATCTAACCAGCAGAATTTGACACAATTGATAGCAATATCTGTGTTTCAAAAACAACAAAAAAGGGGGTTGTCTTGTTACATGTATATATATATACATATATATCATACTAGTGTTGCAAAGCAGCTTAGAAGTACAGTCGACAGATTTTGTCCAACCTTTTTTTGGGTTTGCATTTCACTTCCAATGGCTAAGTACTGTATATCCGTATCAAAGCAAATGCTGACCACTTCCAATAGACTTTCCAAAAACAGCTCAAAATGTTTCTTTACGTTTTAAAAAGCTTCAGTGCCTCCCCAGTGCCTGTTCACTAATGCCGAAAACATAGCCTATTATATAAGCCTGAGGAGACATTGTGGCACAACGATTAGTTTGGTGGTAGGAACCCACGCAGCCAGAGACCTGCAGGAGAGAGACCTGCTGCTGTGCTTTGGTAAAGATTACAGCCAAGAAAATCCTAGGCGGTGAAGGTCTACTCAGTTGTATGGGGTCTCTATGAGTTGAAATCACTCAATAGTACCCTGCAACAACAGTGAAATTATATAATCCTGCTGTGTTTCTCTCCCTATTATAGAAGTCTATAGACTAGAAGGGAGCTCTGGTAGCATAGTGCCTAAGGCACTTGACTGTCAACCAGAAGGCTGGCGGTTCAAACCC